AAAATTACCTTCTATCTTTATGATATTTCTTTTTGGATAGTCATAGAGCAATGATCCACCTAATTCAAGCCATTTTTCATCTGTATTTGCATTATATTTATCTTCCATATTATCAAACCATTCTGTATCATTTTGGGGAAGATGAGTCAGAGACTCGAAGCTAAGCTTCCTCGAAGAAACATTGTCTGAGCTTTGAATAGGTAATGATGGTATATTATCTAATTGGATTAAATCATCTACTGGAACATGGGTTTGTATCAAAATTTGATCTGTATCTGAATTTTGTTGTAATGGTGTCTGCGAAGTAGGAGATGCTTTGCATCCTGAAGCTACAATAAGATTTTGGGTATTACTAGATTTGCATGGAAATTTACGATTTATGTGTGCATCTCGATCTCGAGTCTTTTTGAAATCATTTTTTCCACACCTAGAACATGGAGGTATCATTTTGTATATGGGTGCTGGTATTCTGTTGTTTGTATTAATATAGCAGATTTTTTGTTCAATTTGAAAATTCATATTTACTAGATATATACCATGCTAGGTGATTATACTTGTGATTATTTACTCAGAACTGGAGACATTTGTGGGTGTACTTGTCATCGGCCTGAAGGGTCCATGAACATTGGAAGGCTAGAAAGCGTTTTCCTTGCAAGGTTTGTAATATACCAACTAGCTCTAAGCCAGGCCTTTGCAGAAAGCATACTAGTGGATATTATGTAACCCAGTATATTAATAGGCTTCGGAAAAAGGCTCAAGACTTATGTTATTAAATATATACACTTGAGTGACGAGAAATTTATTTTTTAGTCGTCATCTAGTTTGATTATAAAATATAAAAATAGAGTGTTCTAGCTATGAAAAAATTTACACCACATTTTTTATATCAATTTTATATAGGTGTGAAAAAATAATATAGAATATAGGTTCGCAAAGGCGAGAAAAAGGTAAGATGACTACTTTAGTACCCTAGGTATAGAAAAAGTGTCCTAGAACCCTCCTTTTTATCCTACTAAAGTTGTAGAGCTTGTTAAGATGAATCTAATAGTAGTTGAATTATCAAAATCAGCTTGGTGAATTATGAAATATCTTCAAAAAATATTTCACTAACTATGTAAACTTCTCTTTTAACAATACTGTTACAGTATCATAGCCTTCTTAACAGCAGTACTATAATAATAACATGGCTACAGAGATCCTTTACAGATTAATAGCAGTATCCAACAGGTAAGTATAATTTTTACTACAAATAAAAACTATACCTTCTGTTTGTAGCAGTTCAAGCAGATAATAGTTTATAAATAAAATATATTTTATTAGAGAGAATAAGATAGGCTATCCTTAGGTTCCTATTTCTAAAGAATCCTATAATATTACAAGAGAGAATTTAGAAAAAAGAAGAGTCTAGATTTTAGAGATAGACAATGCAGGTCTAATATTAACTTGGGAAATTTCCATTATTTTTATATCTTTAGAGCTAATTGCTAATTATTGCAGCTAAGCATAGTTTACTTAGTGCTAAGCATAAAGTATAATTACTATCATTAAGTATTAAGTGCTAATTATAATTACTAAGTGTAATTACTAATTGCAAATTGTTAATCATTAAGCATTAAGTGCAAAGTATAATATATGTCATGTTAAATTTTACTCTAATAATTATAACTAAATAACTAAATAATAAAATAATAAAATAATAATTATACAATATCAAATAATAAACTAATAAATAAGGGTGTGGCAACTTAGTGAAGTGGTCAAGTTGTTACTCCCAAGTAGCAAGTCAAGAGTTCGAACCCTAATGGTGACGAAAAATTCAAAATTCTATTTGTATTATAGTAACTGTCTTCTTAAGATTAGAATATCTGATCCTGTTACTATAGTTGGACCAAATAGTGGCTAGGATAATTACTACCTAAAATTGGGTTTGTGCCTGACCCAAGATAGCTTATTTAAGAAGATTTACTAGAAACTGAGTCAAAATTTAGAAGATCACATGATATTTGTATAACAGAAGAGTTATACATATAAATTGCAGATGGGATATTATGAAAGAGCCAGACCCAAGTCGAGCAGCAAAGGAAAAAGGCACTATTGATTTACAATCTTTCTCCTTATCATATCTATTCCTTTCTTATTTTCTTCCTAACTTTAAATAGCAGCAATCATTCCATAAATGTATTCATGAGCTTAGCATGTGAAGATCCTTGCAATAATAACTTTAGCAAGGGATACAAGCTAGTATAGACAGTGCAAACCCATGATAAGTTCTTGTGTCTGTGTAAATCTATAGAACTAACAAAGACGGAAACCTGCTTAGCAAGGCCTGAATAAGGAGATAGCAGAAGCCTAGTATGGCTTACAGATCCTGGATTGTAGTGGCTATATAAACTTTATAAAGGCATTAAAACTAGATTAGCCATTAACAATAGGAAAAATAGAAGGCTCTAGTAGGTTTACCCTGAGAATAAAATTGTTCTAAAGTAGTTATGAATATTAGTTTAAGGTTATGTATATAGAAATATATATATAGTTAATGTGAGACTGATACTGTAAAAGTAACCTGTTAAATATAAATAAAATACTGACCAAAAAGGTCACCTTAAGACCAAATAACTCTAACCCAGTTTCAGCAAGTTTAATAACTTAGATAAAAAGTTGAGTTCTTTTAGCTCAATATATCTAAAAATTACTTTTTTATAAATTTTAAATCATATTATAGAGTCTATTAAATATAAAAATTAATAACAATAAATATTAATAAAAGCAAAATAACAAATATCTATTATTTAAAACTAAATTAATCTTATATAATAACTTTAGCTATCTAGCTAATAAGGTCATATCTTCTTTATTAGTGATTTTTCTTTTCTTAGATAGAGCTACTAAAACAGCAACCATCTCTTTACTACTAGTTAAAAATGGTATATCATTAGCAATATTTCAAAATATATTCTTTTTAGTTTATTTATTTTAAATTTTTCTAAGTTCTTAGATATTAGCTTTTGCAAAAACAAATAAGATTAATAGTTTAAATAAATAATTTAGAACTATTAGAACAAATTATCTAAGAGTTCAAACTAAATAGCATTAAAAAACTTATATTACAAAACTTTGTCTAATTAACTAATCTCTTTTGTATCTAAAAGTTGCTTAATCTTTCTTGTAATTTCTGGATCTTAAGAACTTTTTTTGATATTGCCTAGCAAACAACAGAAATTTTAAATAATCAAATAAAAAATTATATTATCATCACAGAGCTTTATATATAAAAAAAATTCTGTAAATACTAAAGATTATAAAAAAGGTTTGATATCTATATATAAATTGAACTAATATAGACTATGACAGTATTTATTTTTTTAAAAAAAATAATGAAATAACAGTTCTAAACAAATATTAAAATAAAGTAAAAGTTGAAACAAATAATAAAAACACAAGAATTTAATAAATATATTCAATTATAAACCCAGAAACAGACTATAGACAGAAAGAGATTAATATTTATATAAGATCTTGATTTAGCAATAAAAAATATTTATTTAATTCTATAACAATCTCTATTTACACAGTAAGTAGTAGGCTTTGATTAAAATATAAACTAACTTGATTCAAGAATAGGGTTATTTTAATAATAACAGATCCAAAAACAAAAAATTCTTGTTTTATTATTTGAATTTTTTTCTTTTATTATTTCTTTATAGTATTTTATTAATTTTACTAATATACTAATTATTTTTATTTATTAAGTAGTATCTAAATTTTAATTTGTAAATAATTTTCAAATTTTAGATTACACACTACAGAATTATGATTGAAAGTATATATATTTTTTATTAAAATAAGATCAATCACAAGCTTGATTACTTAATCATTTTATATAAAAAGGATCTTGATTATTAATAACCAATAATAACTAGTTTACAAAAAGTACAGAAACAGAAAATATAATAAACAAAATATTACACTAATTTTATAACAAAATAATACTGAAGGAGGAGAAGTTGCTAATATCTTTTCATTAATTAGAGCTTAAAAGTATATTTCTTTTTTTTACAGTAGGTTTTTGAAATGTTTTAAATATATTTTACTTTTACTAATTTATTTTATATTTTTATATCATATAAGAAAAATAAAGTATTATTAGCACCCTATTATATTAATTATATTAATTTTGGTTAAATTTTTTAATAAAATATAATGTAATTAATACTGAGCCAAAGATTACTACAAGCAGTTAAGTTGATATAACTTCATACTAATTGGTAGCTTCTTACTTGTATAATATAGATTATTAATATGACTATATAATATTTATGTTCAGTATTATAATACAGAAATATCAGATTTTCTTAATAAAGAGATAAGAGTTGTGAATTGAGATCAGCTAGAACTAAATTAGTAATAGCTAGTATGAAATAAAAACTATACTTTTCTCTAAATTAGCTATTTTTTTACAGTATTTATTATTAATTGGTAATTTGCTACTCAACCAGAGAGAGCTCATAATATACTATAATATAGTTTACATATAGAAGTTAGGATCTTTGGAATGTAAGCTGCTTTTATCTAAAACTTTTTTGTACTAAGTTAATCACCTTTGGGCCTCTAATTAAAGATATAGAGCTTATTAAAATAAATCTAATAGTAGTTAAATCATTAAAAATCGGCTTGGTAAATTATGAGATATCTTCAAAAA